CCATTCCCGCGAGTTTGCTGTTTGAAGAAGGTAAAGAGTAGTGACGGACTATCGTCCATCTCTCAAGCCCCTTCAGGCGTTGCAGATGAAAACCGCCCTGGGCTTAGACGGAAAGACTCGAGTCCCCTTCATTTCGACATGGAGATATCTCTTACTGACTTCACAAACTGTAGCCTTACATAGGTGACGCAAGTTCAGAGAAACAGATATAAGTTTGAATAGGAAATGCGTCAGTGAATTCATCAACGTCATGCCAGGCAACCTGCAGTTCGCCAAGCACATCATTAGCTGAAGAATTCAAAGTTCATTCAAAAAGGTTGTGTTGGAAATATAGGCAGTCTCATATGTACGTATATTTACTTGCAAATATGACTGTTTACTAAAATGCATTTATTAGATTGAAATGCAGCTGTCATTGTTATAGCTCAGTGGATGGCTATAGACTGACACTTTCTCGGTGCGACGTTAAATATTAACTCATATAGCAGAGTGTTCCTATGTGAGGAGCATTCGTTTGTATTCCTGCATTATATCTACAAGAAAAATGTGGTTCTTGACTGCACATGAAATACTTAATAGCTAAATAATAAGGTAAATTTAACTGGCATGCCCCTGAAAGATAGGCAACATGAAATATCTTCAGATGGTGTACACACGAACCCGTACGTGTGAAGGTCATACCACAGAGTATATAGCATTATTGAAAACGTTTTGAAATGTAAATACAGTAAAGTACGGTTATAACGAACTCAAAGGGACTACTAATTTTAGTTCGTTATAAACGTAGTTCGTTGTAAGCATATATACAGCATAACATCCGCAAATAGTCGGGACCAAAAAAGTAAGTTCGTTATATCGTCAGTTCGTTATAAGCGTGTTCGTTATAACCGTTGTTTGCTGTATAGAGAAATATGCTATCAGATTATTAAATTTTCGTCACATTTTGAATCACAATGAGGATGGAGACGTTGGGATGTTAGAACGTATGTACATTGCGAGTGCATACGGGAGAAGCCAGATGACGGTAGGCAATCGGGGTCATAACCAAGAGGTGTTACGTTGCTAGGCCAGCTGGTCTGAGATGAAACCTTACCAATGATTTGTTGTAACAAATCTAAAACCGCGTCCATCAGAGGATACGTGATACAGTTCGAATTTCTCGCATATTATCTTTAATCAGTGTTTATAAGCCACATCATTAATCAATAATAGGAAGCTGTTCCAATGGACGAGATGGCATAAAAGACATATTGGGACTTCCATGTATACCTCACGGGATTAATTCCTTGTTTTTAAATACAGTTTGGCCCCTAGCTTGTGTAGGATAATACTCACACAATGCGCGAGTCAATTCGTTAATTGCTCTCGCACACTGATATCGCGATACAGCGTCAGTTATCTGAACCCTGATCTCACTGAGTGGGACAGATGATAACCGCAGTGCTGCAATGGTTACATCACGAATGCGCTCGGTGATCCTAATGGTTCAAGCGGTTGTACAATTTTACTGCGAGGCAATATTTGAAAAACGAAACCTCACCCGACTAATCCCGCCCCCTCAAATCAATGCAGTTTTGTTGATAATGTATTTGATCGAACACGTTCTCAGGAACGTGGTTGACTTAAAAACATAATTATGAAACTTAAATTGGAATTCTTGCAGTGCTGATGATTGGAAGTGAGGTGAAATGGCGTTTTTACGATTCAAGGAATCTTGTTGGAAAGTATTTTGATCAGGGTTACAAAATTCAAGGCCTTTCAAAATGATTTATGGTAGACATTTGAAGTACATTTCAAATTTGACGCATCAGTGACAAATGTGATGTCTGATGCATATTCCTGTTTTGACATTATGATATTTTACCGTGTTTGTTCAGGTGAACAATTGCCTTGCCTTTGCATGTGTTTGTGACGGTGTAGGATACACTCGTCGTTTCACGAACACCTGTTATCATCACTATTCGATATGGATTCATAAACACAGGCTTAAGATATTAACGACCTTAGTCGTAACATGGACTCTGCTATAGCAGAAATATCATGTCTATCATATGATTATGGAAAGTGTTTTGTCGCTTCTACTTAAAGTCACGTTCAAAATTAATGCATTTTTACCACTGCTTGTACTAGTCCAGATGTATGACAGTTTTATACTGCTAGCCCACAGAGATAACACGCTGAGGTTAAACATGGACACTTAATTGAGTCACAACTTATGGACTCCGAGCTGACCAGTCTTTGTTTTATCCCCGAGTCCCAGGAAGGGCAACAACAAGTAACTATTGTTATTTTACGTTTCTTCGTATGATGCAGCTAGGGGATCAAACCACCGACCTTCCGCGGGCCAGATTGCTCGACGTCACAACTGTTTGACACGATTTTGTTCCTTGTGCCGTGCCAGGAACAGTTGCTTGAGGAGTCGCTCCGATTATGATCCTTCGTCTGTCAGCACCGTTCACTTGGTTGAAACGTCCACATTAAGCTGACACGCTGAGTATTACCTTCAATGCTGCTAAGGGGAGCGTTTTAATCCACACATTCACATATTAATTCATCTGTATACATTACGATACGATCACACAAATACAAAAATGAGATCAATTTTTAATGGTATGGCGATTCCCAGCACAAAAAGTTCACACGCGAATAAACATGTATACGCCGTTGTTACTCATGCGATGATCTGAGTTATCCCAGAACACTGAATAACAAGACAGTTTCTGATAATAGCAAATTGGGAATGCATTGTAATTGGCACAAAAACACTATTCTTGTCCATGCTGCTATATATATCGTTTCCAGGACGCTGGCAACTTCAGCACAAGATTCACCTCCATCTGTGACGTCTCATGGTAATAGGCAGTGCGTGTCAAAAATGACTAGATATAAAAGAAATATCTAATTTTGGGGGCGGGGGTGCTAGTTGTTGAAGCGTTTGCTCGTAACGCCGAAGACCCGGGTTCGATTGCTCACATGGGTACAATGTGTGAAGCCCATTTTGGGTGTCCCCTGTCGTAATATTCCTGGAATAATGGTAAAGGTGGCGTAAAACCATATACCAATTTTGGTATCCGTCGCTGATTGATATGTATTTCAAACAAGGGCGGATCCAGCATTTTTAAAAGGGAGGGGTCAAACTCCTCTCTCAGTCAATTTTACTGCCTCTGTGTGTGTGTCTATCTCTATCTCTCTCTCTCTCTCTTTCTCTCTCTCTCTCTCTCTCTCTCTCTCTCTCTCTCTCTCTCTCTGTGTGAATGAGTGAGTGAGTGAACCAATCTTCATCTCAGAATCATCATCCCATGAGATAGCTATTCCAGTACACACGAGATCTTGGTCAATTATCACTGTGGATTGTCCGTGACCTCAATGGGCTGATGGTCAGTGCCTGTTTGTGCTTCCTGCTTGACCATCTCAATGCGGCCACCCACAGTAGTGACTGTGCAAATCTGGGGAGGACTTAGAATGATGAGGATGTACTTGACGGCCGAGAAGCGCATCTCCGGTCACATTTGGTTAACTATCGAGTGACCTTGTAATCCCCGTGTCAATACTTCTGTGAATAAATCATCAGTTTATTGACTACTTTGATCTGGGATAAACGATGATGGCGCCGAGCTACAAGGCCAATATAGTTAGCGTTTGACTGTAAATCAGCGGCGTCACTGTTTTACTAATTAAGTACCACGTGTCACGCAATTTTTGTCACGTTTCACATCACTTATCTATCCATTGGCCTTTTCTTGGTTTAGTCATTGTTTTCATAGTGTCACGTGTATCCCCACCCCTGTCGCTCTTCACCAAACAACACAAACACGTATACCTATAATTTCATGGTTATAATATTTCTTTCTTTGTTTTAAACGCCGTACTCAGCAATATTCCAGCTATATGACAGCGGTCTGTAAATAATCGAATATGGACCAGACAATCCAGTGATTAACATCATGAGCATCGATCTACGCAATTGGGATACGATGACAAGCATCTACCAAGTCAGCGAGCCTGACCACCCGATCCCGCTAGGCAGCAAGCATTGGTTGCTGAAGATCTATTCTAACCCGGATCTTCACGTGTATGGTTTTAATCAATGCATCGTGAGTGAGTGAGTGAGTAATTTGATCAGTTTGATCACAACTTTGGTGAAACCCACGAACACGGGTATGGTGCTGACAAACGTAGAAACATAATCAGGGAGAACAGTGATTCGACCCACGATCATAGTTTCCTGGCGTGACCAAGGGACGCAACTCTACACAGCGAATCGCGACGCCTTGACGACTGGGTCACCCGTGCCACCATTACATCATAATCAGTATGGCAGACATATGTTCGCAACCGTAGAGGGTTGTTGTACATTTTTTAATGCCATTACTTCCAACAGTACAAGATGACTCTGTAAAGCCCTGCGACAGTGAATTACTATAGTTTGAGGGCAATCAATAATTAACTATGCATCTAACGCCTAAATCATAATCATCTCAATTTTCAGCTTTCCTTCTTAGTATTCTCTCCGGACAAAGTTTGACAGATCTGTTAGCCCATGTTATCTTATCGACACAAGATGATACAACTGTAAACCTCAAATTGTGAAATAATACACGATCATAGATCGTCGCATCTTCCCGAGGCAAGGGAGGTAACTGACTATTAAAGTCCAGTTTCCACCCTTGCCGAACTAGGCTGGTATTATCTCTGACTCCACGGACTTCTGATCCAAACACAAGAACATCACCGATCCAGATCAAATCATCAGTTATGACGTAGTAGACCTCTTCACCTCTAGACCTCTAGACCTCGTACCCATAGATGACTCTCTGCAAATTCTCCGCCGTTGCATCACTGAAACTTCTCTTGAAACCAGCCTATCCACTGAATCTATCATCGCCCTCACCACCGCCTGTATCTCGTCTACCTACTTCACCTGGGGCGACGAGTACTATCAACAGATACACGGCCTACCCATGGTGTCCCCACTCTCTCCCATCCTTACTGAAATCTACATGACCTACTTCGAACAGCAAGCCCTAACCACATCACCATCCAATCTATTTGCTGGTACAAAACAAGGCCAAAACCCAACCCTGCTACTACATCTTAACCAACAACACCCCCGAGTACAGTTCACCATCGAAACAGAAAAGGACAACCAACTACCCCTCCTAGATGTCCTCGTCTCCAGAAGCCCAACAAACAGAATCCAAACCAGTGTCTACCGGAAGCCCACCCACACCGACCAGTATATCCACTTCAACTCCATCCACCCCCTTAGAACCAAGACTGGCATCGTCTCTACCCTCACCAAACGAGCCATCAACCTTTCGTCTGCTGGCCCCAAACTTGAGATCGAACACCCCCGCCAAGTCTTCACCCACCTCAACAATCATCCATCCAATCCCGTCGACAAAGTCATCATCTCTGTACTCCATCCCACACCCAGAACTGCCACCCTTAAACCCGAATCAGCGCCCTTCCGCATCGCCCTTCCGTTCATAGAAAAAGCCTCCCACATCATCAGCCGCCTCCTCAAACACAATCTCATTAACATCAGATCTCAGTTCTCGCTACCGCAAAGCAAAGTTAAGATCTGATTTTAATGAGCCAACATCGACACCCACTTCACCAGCTCCAACCCCATCAAGACCCTGCTAAGAGCCAACGGCAGGAACACAACCAAACCCCAAGAGCCTAAAGGTGTAATTTTACAAAATTGACTGCAACTGTGGACAATCTTACGTAGGTGAAACATCCCGCCCCATCAACACCAGAATGAAGGAGCACAAAACCTCCACCATTAAATCCGACAGTAAATCAGCCATCTCGGACTATATCAACAACTGTCCTGATCACAACATCAACTGGGACAACGTCCAAATCCTCTCCAACAACCTCCATGATTTCACGAAAATAAAATAAACAGAAGCAATCCACATTCGCCGCCACAAGCCATCAATCAACAGAGATCAACGCTATTTCATCCCATCCGCCTACTATGAACTCATCCAGCAATAATCACTTATCCTGTTTAAATGGCTTCATGTCCCATTGGCTTCCACCTATGTGTTCTCTGTCCATCGTGTTGTGACAGTATTATCCCCTTGTTGTCAACACCTTACCTATGATATCCCACTCATATATGCAATCATTGTTACTGTTAATCTCCTACTGTTAATCCTCCACATATTATATATATTCTGTAATAAGTCCCTCATTCTTGCTTGACAACGGTATAAGGATCTATACCGAAACGTCGCTTTTTACAGTATTAAAGAAGTTATTATCCATAAAATTGTGTCCACCTGGTATTATGGAGTTACAATTGGGCTGGACTAACGCGTCTATGCATAGTCCAATCAAACTCGCGAACTGAAATCGAAATCCGGTTCGTAAACTGTCATGCAGATTTCGATCGATTGCAGGATTTGTACAGCATGTGCACCGACAACTCGTTGTCAACATATATTTTCTAAATCTTTTCAAGTTTTTAATCAACTTGCTCACGTGATTTGATGCACTTCGCGATGTAAGACCCCTTTTCACACAATATAGATCCTGATTGTCGATCAGATCGTCTTGACTGAGCGCCGCCATTTTGTTTGAATCAAATTCAAGTGATACGAGAGGTGGGATCTGATTGGTCCATAGGAGAGGCATAGAAGGGACTTAACTCGTAACAGCCACTGGTGGTGCTACGATCGAGCCCAGGAATTCCAGCCTAGTTCGGCAATGGTGGAAACTTGACTTTTAAAGTCAGTTAACTATCTTACCTCGGGGAGATGAGATCGTCGAGCCTGAGAAGTTTTTTTTGGCTTTTCGTCTCCTTGCAATAGAAACAGACTATTTTTGATCAGATACCCAAATTTTGAGTTGTGTTATCGTCGATGTGAAACCTGTTAAATTTATAATGTACGTTTAATTTGTATACATGTGAACGGAAGTTGTAGTCGTCACCCACGTGGAAGACGTATCTCGCCTCGGTGGCTGGCACGTGTTGGTATTAGATCACTGGCGTGTGTACATCGTCATGACTTAATCAAAACGTGGGCCCCCCTTCCCATTTCGTCATTAAACGGAAGGATGGGGATTGTAAACAATCTGAAGTGCAAATTTGTAACTTCCAAATTGCATGTCTTCCATCGTGGTTGTAGAGTTCGTTTTGCACGAAAATTTATTCAGAAAATGCCTGTATTTGCGATGAGATGATTACGACATCTGGGTGAGTGAGTGAGTGAGTGAGTGAGAGAGAGGTGCTTTTTGTGATAACAAGTCAACAAACATGGGTTCGTTGCATGCAAAAAGTGAATCTAACCATTTTATTTTATGGAGTTGTAATATGTTAACATTGGCTAACTAACTCGCATAATACAATTTCTATTTCTAATAGAACGTATTTACGATAGGAAACAACACCCGGCTAACAATCTCTATATACGTGGCATGACCAGTCACTAGATAAGCCTGTATTAATAATTAGTATATTTCAAAACAACAGAAGGGGACTTTGCACCCCACCCCTAACAGCCTGACCCACACCCACATTCGCACCCACACTCAGCCCATGGCGCGCTGAAGAATTGACGATGGTAGTTATATTTCAAGGTTGGTATCCCTTTTGCATAGGACAAATTAAGGTCTTTACAGCCGAGTACCTTGTGAACAATAAGAAATGAACTATTTCCAATAGTGTGAGTTAATCTGATTAAATGACAGTTTAAAGGTTATACAGACAGATCGTCCTTTGTAATCTGCCCCGCGGTCAGTGCTAGGTAGTATTGCAGAAGACAGTGTGGATATATATATATCTAACAATAAACAGTCATAAACAGAACCATTTATATACCCACGTCTCGAAGACAGCGTCAGGCAGCCGACATTTTTCATCAACTTGTATTACATCGATAAATGTTCATAGTGCATGCGTCGTTACTGTGCGAAGCGCCATATAATGTCTCACATTCTGTTGCCCGAAGGGGTTATCTCCCATTCTCCGTACATTGTCATTCGTGACCAACTCGTGTTATTCCGGGACAAGCCGGGCAGGTTACGGAAAGGGGCGAGTGGTGACGAATGGTACACTGTGCGCTTCGTTTTTGGGACGCAGAAATTTTTAATGTTTTACTGTACACATTTTAATTACATGTTGTGTAAAAACACCAACATGTGCAACGTTATTGCTCATCTTATTTAAGTTGTATACACATTTGGCATCAACATTCAACATTCGATTAAGATATCATGGTTAACCGATTATCATACGATTTGTCAAATAGAACCAAATACAAAATAGACATAAATCAATAAGATCGATTTAAAAAAGTAAACATTTATGAGAACCAAGAATAAATAAATATTTTGCTCCAAAAGCGTACCTTTAAGTCACTAGTGTAAATTTTATTCTTTCTCCTGAAACTGCCTCCGTGTTGCATCATGTAAACACGTTGTTACTCGTAATGTAGTTATTTAGGTGTGGTTACATTTGTGGCAGTTGCTATTTTTTCCAGTAGTGATGGCAACACATCACAAACTATTTCAGTGTATTTATTTTTGATGATGGTGACTTTTAGATATTAAATATATTAGCTCGCTCGTCACTCCGAAATCCGGAGTCGAATTATTTTTATCAACCATCGCGTAATCGGTTGAATATTGCTAAAACGTGTAAATACTCTTAAAGGTCTGCATTATTAATCTCAAACATAAACTCAGCGTTAGATTCCCTCTATAGAAATAAATATTGATTGTCAGCACATTATGAGAAAAGAACACGTCCACCTTACACTGCTTGACCGAAATGGGTATGTGCAAATTCCAGGGCATGTTGGCTTACAGTGCCAATCAAATATTCAGATCCATTCATATAACTGCTGTGCAAACCAAGCTCCCTCTTTCTCAACTCCATGCCCTGATATGAAATAATAAGGTACTTTATACAACATATCGGCAGCATTATGTAAAGTTTGTAAGAACTACTTCACCAAGCAAGCGGGGCGGTCGGGTAGCCTCGTGGTTAAAGCGTTAGCTCGTCACGCCGAAGACCTGGGTTCGATTCCCGACATGGGTACAATGTGTGAAGCCCATTTCTGGTGTCCCCCGCCGTGATATTGCTGTAATATTGCTAAAAGCGGCATAAAACCAGACTCAGTCAGTCAGTCATCAAGCAAGCCCCAGTCGTGACGGGACGAAGACTTCACATACAGGACAACATATGGAAACGTCAGGTCTTCCTCCAGGGGAATATCGATATTTTACTTCCGCTTCAGATGTCTGCTATAATGGCCATGTAACCACGAAATTGATTGTGGTATTCTTTGCAGCCAGCACAGGTTGTTTTGATCATAACGATATGTACTATAGACCTGCAGCTGTTTTCAACACTATGTTACCAGCCCATGTGCCTGGGGAATCTAGCCTGTCATCAGCAGACCTGTTCGGCTATATTAACCCTTTAATGTCAGTTACAATTTATACTTGATTTTCCGATAGTAATACTTTTCACGAGAATATGTCTTCTAGTGTGTCAAGTAACAACATAAAACGTCACCCACACCCTGCCCACTCATACAGCTGTGACATACAGTTCTATTTTGTATAACCGCGGCGTACTTTATATCCTGTATAACTGTGACGTTCATTTCTATTTTGTATAACTGTGATGTACTTTGTATCTTGTATAACTGTGACGTACATTCTCTATCTTGTGTAACTGGTCATACTCGAGCATCAACAAGCCATCGTGATAAAGCTGTAACTCGGCTGACTTCAGCGTTAAAACACACTGATTCATTCTCTCAGCCACCCAAACAACCAGGTCTCACCGACAACCAACGGAAAGAGGCTCTGATCAATGTCCACGCAACGGAAAGAGGCTCTGATCAATGTCCACGCAACGGAAAGAGGCTCTGCTCAGTGTCCACTCAACGGAAAGAGGCTCTGATCAATGTCCACGCAACGGAAAGAGGCTCTGATCAGTGACCACGCAACGGAAAGAGGCTCTGATCAATGTCCACGCAACGGAAAGAGGCTCTGATCAGTGTCCACGCAACGGAAAGAGGCTCTGATCAGTGTCCACGCAACGATAAGAGGCTATGATCAGTGTCCACGCAACGGAAAGAGGCGCTGATCAATGTCCACGCAACGGAATGAGGCTCTGATCAGTGTCCACGCAACGGAAAGAGGCTCTGATCAATGTCCACGCAATCACAAAAGAGCTTTCAATTTTACAATAATGATTCTACGTTACCGGTATTTTCTGTACGTAAAAAAAACCCCGACAAAACGAAACCAATTGTAGCAGTCCTCTGGAGAGGAAATGACATCTTATCTGACTGAACGGGCCGTCTCGTTTGTGCATCTCGTCTGTCGATCTCGTGACGCGATGAAAAGTAAACTGACAACAGTACACTGCAAACAGTTGGATATGCCCACTTGGGCGTTAGGAGAAGGTGGAATCAAATAGTTTGGGCAGACATAAAGCGTCCTTTGGTAGCTGCAGATGTGTAAGAAGGCTCACCAAAATGTATTCGCTGTCTCATCAAACCACTGATAAAAGAATTACCTTTGGTAGATAAAAAATAAACAACACGAAAGTAAA